AAAAAAATTTCAACAGGATTTTGAAAAACAGAAATGCAGCACTGATTTCTGGAAAGACAATTTTTTTTACAAGCCAGTTAAGCCATAGTGACCTTAAATGATAGCAGCGTGATTTTTCTTTTTTTAAAACCTATGGAAAAAAATATTCCAGAGTACTGTATCACTAGCACATAAGCTCTATAATCGTGACTAAGAACACAATTTCAGCTCTTACTCTGAAATACAGACAACACTTTGCAGCTACATTCATTTGCCTTGGAAAACATCTTTGTTTTCTTTCAAAATTAAGTGCCCAAATTCCACCTTATTTCTCTCATCACATATAGATTAGCACATCCAGGTTGCAATATTTTTCACAGGCATTCTACTAAAACTATTAATAATTGTTAATTGTTATTAAAATAGGGGACATTTCTCTCCGATTTAATCTTGGTGCTTCATGCAGACAGTTGATGACAAATACGGGCAAAAGTCAGTAAAACTTCTATTACAGAAATGTTGCCTAAAACCTCAGCAGCTTTCTTAGTCAAATGTTTTTTGTTAAAGCATACTACGTTTTTACAATACGTAACAATGCAATTAACACAGACTTTTACCTCATCATCATGGACCAATTCTTTTTTCACTACTTTCATAGCATAAATTTGATCATTCTTTTTTAACCGAACTAAAAGGACTTTGGCGTAACTTCCACGTCCGATAACTCTGATTAAATCAAAGTCCTGTAGTCCAAGACCCTGAGAAATCTTAATTCCATCCATTCCATCAATGACTGGTTTGATATCCTGTACAAAAAGAAACAGATGCTAGAAACAGAAGACATTTTCATAACAAGTAACTATTAAAGCAAAGAGGTCTTTAATCACTGGACAGAATTTGCTGAGTTTGCTTGCCCTTGTCACTGGCACACAGATTCGAATAGTTGATTATAACACATTTGTTTAGAAATGTTTGGTTGGTAGTGGTTTTGCTCTTACTAAAAATTACTGCGTTTTTCAAGGCAATAGGTCATTCAATGAATCATTTAAATATTCCTTATTGGAAAACAGAAGCCAATGGCTTGAGAAATGAGGTTTTATTCAAATTCTTGAACCGCAGGCCATGTAGGATTACCCTTTGCTCTAAGTGAAAAGCATCTTTCATATTCTGACAGATATTGTAGTACAAATTAGTAAAGGCTACCTAAAAAGAGGACAAATAAGAAAACAATAATTTGCTAATGAATATACCTGTCTCTGTTTCAGTTTAGGCAACAGCTGTCTGCATTAAGTTCATTACAGTTTTAATGAAAATGAAGACTTCTAATAGGTGCCTGGGAACATATAGAAGCAGATGCCACTTTCTCAAATGTGAGAACTTGCAGGAAATATTCCACTATGAAAAATGTCATTTTAAAATTCATTATTTAAAAAGATAAATTCATCTTGACTCTTCGCTGGAATTAGATGTGAACACATGAGACTGAAGATCAAGCAGCTGAACTAGACAAATACAGCATGTACTTTGACATTCCGTGTTTTACCAATATATACAATGATTTAACATACTTCCGCAGCCTATTTTTATCTGACCTCATACTACTGTACTTGTAGACAGATCAGCATTCTGCTGAACTATGGAAAGTATTTATATAAAGAATCTTGATCTAGGATTGACTGCTATTAGAAGAGATTGCTCTGAGCTTAAAGATTCTAGTCAACAAAGCTCCCAGAATGCCACTTCCTCTCTGTAGGATACCTTAAATTATCTTAGTAATGCTCAAAAGCAAGGTGGGAAAACCACAGCGGCATAATTCAGGACAGTTGAGCAAACAGCAAACAAAATTTAAACAAGAACAGTATCTACCTGAGCACTAACCATAGCAGAAGTCAGCAATTCTAGATAGCAATTAAAATTCTCTGATGTGTTTTAAATTTATACTCTTCCATCTCTGAATTTGAGATAAAATCTAAAGACACGTGACTGAAAATAAGGCAGTCACTTACCCAAGAGCAGGAACTACTCAAGTGTGAAATAACGGTAGTGACAAGTATTGTAGTGGAGGTAAAGGAAAAAAGGTGCAGCCTTGTTAAAAGTGGGATATCAAACTACCTGCTAGTGTTCTGCAGAGTGCATCCTATTTATTTTAAATATGCCAGAAGCATTTTTAAAAGAAACGTCTTGAAGCCTTTTAGAATTAAAGCATATTGGTATTTTTCAAACTGCTTTAAGGGAATAACATTCTTGGTATGCAGAGACTGTGTCAGACCATCTACAAAAGAGCTGAAAAACAGAGTTTAAGTGTATGTTATTGTACTCCTATTTCCGCAGGAGCCGTCTATAAATTATTAGGTATTATTTATATGAAACATCTCAGAGAGCTGGATAGTTAATGTATTATCAGACTGAACCAACTTTCATAATGATAGCCTGCAGAGGTAGCCTGAGGGTGATAAAGGGTGTACATCCATTAGAGAGAGCAAACAACACAATGTCAAAGCCACCATTTGTTGCAAGGACCAATAAAGTCAAACCCTCTGCTAAATCACTGTTGTTCCAACATGAATGGAGGGGAGAGAAAAAGAAAAAAGTCTTTCTCACATCACAATTGGGATAACAAGAGCTGTATACAGAACAAATCTGAAAAATCCAACAAAAACGCTGAAAAAACCCTATCAATTTTCAGAAATAAAACCCAGACTTCTTTTCTAAAAGGCAGTAGAAAAAATAGCACAAGTAATTAGCTATTTTATAAAAAGTTGTATGATTAAGAGTGTGTAAATGTGAATTACAAAAATACTTTTAAAATATACCTCAGAGTCATCTTTGATGTTGTCATGTTTCCGGTTTGAAGGAATGTAGGGAACTGGAAAAGAGATCAAACAAGTAGTGTGGTTATTAAGGCCTTCATTAGAAATATGATAAATGGAAAGATTATTTAGTAGCTTAGGGTCAGCAGTTTGCTTTAAATACTGTGGGACAGTTGATCAAACTTTTCACTTTATTCTTGTAATTCTGACAGCAGATCCTAGGGGCACTGCAGAAACAACCAACTCTGAGACAGTAAGAAACCTGTTAATGAACCTTTGAGCTCATAATAATATCTGAGAAAGGTCAGAGTCATTTTGGAGAATGGGTACGACAAATGGGCCCTTAAAACAAGACAGCTTAAACAATCAAAAAACATTAACCTATAAACATTACTCCAAGTCACACAAAATGAAGCAATACTTAAAGTCTGAGGGTGCACTTACATTAGCATGACAGTTTGGATCTGAAGTGCAGGTTTTTTGCTTGTTTTAAAAAATAAATCTACTGTTGCCAATTGCTCCTTGCTTAACTTGACATTCTAGAATGGTTTCAGAGCATGTGAACTTAGGATGAAATGGAACTACACGATATGAAGTACATTTACTGTAACTGAGTCCCTAACGAGCATTTAGTCCGCTGGACTAAACTAGAACTAATCCAAAGTAAACTTTAAAAAAAACCCAAACGGATAGAATCGAAACTGGGCCTCCAAATGAGGAAACACATGAATTCCAACTTAACAAGAAAGTACTCACTTCCATCAGTTTCTTCTGAAGGGAGGTCAACTTCATCATTTTTATCATCTAACTGAGGTTCCTGGGAAGGCATGACCGAATCCTTGCAAAATACATAAGTTATGTAGGAAAAAAACGTTGGTTTATGCAGTCCCTTTTAAGTGAGCATGTCTTGCCATATAACTACAATACAATGAAAACCTTACATTTGTATCTTCCAGAATGAAAACTGGATTTTGTAGAAAGTATTTCCGAATATTAACATTTTGTAACGCATTATAAAACCAGCCTAACAACAGCCTGAATGCTATGTCAACCATTCTCTGCAACTACAGTAGATGTTCAGAAGTCTTCTAAAAGTAAAATTAGTCTATTTTATTGCAAAGTTCACACTTTAATTCTAGTTAAGACTTCAGAGTCTGTTTCACATGGAACTGCAACAAAGTAAACACTTCAGAGTGGTGTTACTCAATTCAAAGGACTGGCATATTCCTTTCCTGTTTAAAACACGTGAATTGTAATTATGAAAGGGTATTGCATAAATTGGTAAAGATCACAATACCAATGTACTCTGTTTTGTCTTACATCTGGACATTGTCTCATTCATAATTCATAATGAGACATCTAGGACTATCCCAGTAGGTATAGCAATGTGCATAAATAAATTGGCAAAGAATCAAGTAATGTCAAGGCAAGTCACATGCAACAGCAAAAAAGAAAAACATTCGTTTAAGTTTTGAGTTAGAAAAAACATGATGCAACAACCAGTGAGATACTGGTTAGAGTCTGCGATGAGTATGGGGAAGGGCTAAAATTCAGGGATACAGATTCATGTTTAAAGCCTTGGAAAGACACTAGCATTGCCACTGGAACACACACGAGGGAAGCGAAAAGGATGAGAACAGTACTAGAGAAACTGAGATGGCAAGAACATGAGAGCAACAAGCCTTTTCACAGGCAGTAGTGCAAAAACCACACAAGTGCCCTAGTTTTTAAAACACCCCCACAGGCTAAAAGGAACAAATGCCAAGATCATCAATAACAACCCTTTCTCTATCTGTAAAATACTGGAGAAGTCAAACTCAAGCTTGCTCATGCTGGAATCGTATCACAAGTTTTCTTTTCTCACTTTGTCTCTACTGCTCACAATCCAAACGCTTGTCCTCCATAGACATTTCAGAAACTGAAAACCAAATACCACCAAGGGTTAGAAATCTACAGCTACACACAGCATTCAAGTACTTAGGAGGCACATCTTCAAACAGCAACACAGGACACAATGAAACACCTTTACACAGAACGCAAACTTACCATATGCCTTTTGCAGGTCAGTGGAACAAGTATATGACAACGTTTATGGACCAACAATTTGCAGTTGATACACTTGTAGCCTTGCCTTCCGAGACCCCATATCCTTTCACTGCACTGGCCACAATACGCTCTCTAAAAGTCAGAATGCGCATTATCAAGTCAATTATCAATTCCTTTTATTAGGCAAGTAGTTATCTAGCAGCAAGAATCCACCCTATTAGAACCCATCCTAGTCACCTCCTAACAGATGTTCAGTAATAATTCTTAATTCTTCTAATCCAGGGTTTCCCTAATAACGGAGGGTTACGCTTCATACTTAGAATTCAGCTAAATGCAGTCCTTTCTTAATGAACATTAAGAAAACAAATATCTCAAGCATATGGAACACATTACAGCCTAACATTAGCAAATCATTCTTAGAGAATAAGTGTATTTTGAATTTCAGGTGCTGTCAGAGGTTACCCAAACAAAGCTGACAGGAATTTGTACTACACAATTGTGCATAAAAAGCACCCAAACGGACTGCTTTGGACAAGACTGGCACAAAATGTTACAAAAGACTTAAAGTACAAAGAATGTTCTATATCTGCAACTATGTACTTTAACAGTTGTAGAACATTAGCAGAAACTTCGCATAATTAAAACTCATCTATCGAGTCTGATGTAAAACCTCTGTATGTTGCACTGTTCAATATCAAAAAATATATGGCCTTTTTTTATACATGCAACAAAATGGCACTTGAAGAAGTTAAATGAAAATGAGGACAAATTAAGAGGCCAGACATTCTACTGCTGACTTTAACAGGGCAGGTATTCAAATAATTTTTCCAGTGTATGTGCGCTGTGGTCATTTTATCCACTTTACCCAAAGTGCCAAATAGCAATCTGAGACTCTTCCATGCCAAGAAGTCACCTAGTCCCAGCTGTCCCTCTATAAAGTGCACAGGTTGCCAACAGAAGACTTACTCATTATTCTCTATCTGCAAAATTTCTACAGTAATTACTGTAACAGGCTAAGACATTGCCTATCATGCCGCAAGCTGCACATGAAGTCCTGGCCTCATCCCCCATTTCAGGCTTAGACAGAACTCTGCAACTGTCCTAAAGCCACAGAACAGTGAAAGTCTGTTCCTCCCAGCAAACTGCAAGTTAGAGTGTGGTTTTTCAGATCCTCAGACTAATGAATCACACACGGTGTCCTGCCCAAAGGCATTTAGCTACTATGAATCCTTACTAGTAGTATTAGAAAAAAATTTAAAAAACAAGAAAAAAGAAATAATGATCAAAGAATGGATCATTTTAAAAAAATATTTTCTTTATTGCCTTTCATTTTGATAGCTGTAGAAACAAAACATAACTACACCCCATTTGTCTGTCCAGCTGGTCCTCCTTGATCAGGAGAAACCCAAACTGTATTGCCCACGGATAAAAAAAAACAAACCACACACCCAAAACAAACAAAAAACCCACCACAACCAAACAACCATACTGCCGAATAAGAGAGGAAGCCTTAGACATCTATAGCCACGTCTTTCAAAATTCCTAGTCCATCAGACTTCCTTCAGTATTCTTGTATAGGTTTGGCAGCAGTAATATTAAGAGTAAATACAATGTCTTAGGCTCTGGAAATGACATACAAGAAAATAATCTCATTTACTTCAGTCAGATGCAGGGAAGTAAGGAAAAATAAGACATATGGGCAGTTCCCAAATTCCTTCAGTAATACAGGTATCCCCCCCCTCATACCTCTCCAAAATGCATACAAACACAGCTAGCCTTTATATTATGTTCAACAAGTTTAAAGTTTAGATTCTGGCATGTGTTCATTTACCTGAATAATCTGAAAAAGTTTTAAAAGGTTATTTTGAAAAAGGAATGAATTCATAAGGTAATACTCCAGTCTTAAAAATTGAGTCAACATTAAAATTTGGTATCTAATTCAGTAATACATATAAGCATAATTTATTATTAATTTATACATTTTAATTTCACATTTTATAGTTCCTGTCAACTTCATTACTAACTTCAGTTGGATAGGTTTGTGTTCTGGATTTCATTTGTATACAGACAGTTATAACACAGTAGTCTTGTATAGGATTGTTGACAAATGGGCATGCTAATGAAGTTTCAAAATCTTTATATGTATATTCACTGTTTGCTTAATTTCAATTAAAACATCATTATCTATAATATTATGGATTATTAATGTGGCAGGTATGTATTCACAATGTTTCAAAGAAATATGTTTTAACTATGTAGCAAATAAGCACAAAAAAGTATGCGTTTCATACTCCAAATTAAAAACATTGAGTTGGTACACCACATTACACAAATGCATGTTATAATTCAGATATATGACTTAAATTTTTCTCATATCTAGTGATAAGATCCTGAGTTTTCAGGGGCTTTTCCTATACACTTTCCAGAAGCGTATACTACATACGTATATATGCTGCAATACTTAGGCATAATGGGATAAGTGAAGGAGGTGTGTCAGCCTTAAAGCTACATTCACTTGCTTAGGTGGATTAAGTCAGACTCTTAATGCAGTTGTATTTTAGCTCAATAAACCAGTTTGGTTTTTTTTTTCCCCTTAATTAGATTATGTAATACCTCAGATTCAAAAAGTTAAAGCTAACATAAAGAGCTCTAATCTAAGAATGACAAAAAGTACCGAAGGTAAAAGATTATGCTAACAAGCAATCAAAATCACATAAAGAGTGGAGGAGAGAAAAGCTGCCCTAAGAATGCATCAATTTAAATAGTCACAAAACCAGTTCTTTAGAATCTTCAAAAATAAATCATTCCTACCAATCATATATTATTAACTCCCTCCCAGATTCAAAGACTTTCAAGTTTTTCTGATTGCTATGACCTGAATAACACTGCATAGACTGAAAAGTCACATGAATAAGCATCTTGCTTTTCCTTTCTTTTCAACACTCAAATACAGAAAAAGCACAGACTGAAAAAACAATTACCACAGAACATTACCAAAACCCAACATTTTATGCAACAGTACTCACTCTGTTAAAACGTTTGGCTTGAAACAAATGCCCATTCACTCGGTACAGCTTCCTCCATCTTCTGGCTCCACGGCGGTAGATTGATTCTAAGGAAGAAATTAAAAAGGTGTAAAGCAGCAGCATGGTAGCACAGCAATACCAGACACGCTATGTTAGGCAAGTTGTGACTTAAAACAATCTTGCTTTTCTAAATATCAACGCACAGCTAAAATCCCTGCTGATTTTTTTTTTTTTTTAAAAGGCAGCCGTAAGTGACAGCTTCTGCAGGATGTGCTTTCACCACTGCCTCTCCCTTTTCTCTATCCCCGTCTCTTTTTCCTCACATGATCATAATCTTGTTACAGTTTCTTGGCTGCTTGCTATTCAAGCTCAGGTGAGAAGGACAGATAACCCTTAAAGAAACAGCTTTCTCTGGTAAAAATGATGATGCTGATCTCCCCATGTCACCTTCACATGTAATCACGTAAAGGATATTTGGTGCTAATAATGCTTTAGATATGCAACGGTAAAGATGTTACACGTCTTGAGAGCTACATTATTTGACCTCATTTTTACCTTGCCATTAAACATTACCCAAAGTATTTCTTCTGTTAGGGAAACATTTCAAGTGCAGGTCTGCCATTATTTCTGATATATTCTAAACATAACAAGAAATCATTTAATCCACTTAAACCAGACTTTTCATGAGGCCATACATGACAGTACCTAGCATCGACTCCAAATTACTTTGTTGTCACTTTTCACATACATACGTGCAATTTTTGTGTGACTGGCTTATTAGAAACGTTAGATATTTAATGCTAAGTGTTGAAAAATGTGTTATGTAAGACCAGTCCTGTTTAGAGCTGCACGCAGCTGTAACGGTGACGGAGCCAACAACCCCTGCCACACAACCAAAGTCGTGAGCTTTCCCCAGCAGGCAACACAACTGGGTACTGGGTGGAGTGGGGAGTACAGGGGGAAAAGAAGAGGGTGGTGAGTTAAGCAGAAAAGTCAGCAGTTTTGTTAAAACTGACAACATACTCCTGCTATCAAAAGGCTAAAAAAATTTTTTAAAAAAAATCAGATTTGGCAAGATTTTCTAATTATTAGTTCTAATTACACCTATTAAGAGATTCAAATATAGGAGTTCTCAAAGTTTACTGTAATATTTAAAAGTTAGCAAGCATATTTTAGTCAGTTAGATGAGTCTGACATCCCCTTCAACATTTCCAGGAAAAGGATTTTATAGTGATTTTATGGGTGTTGTAATATCCTCTTACTTGAAAAAGAAATGTACAAGACTAGAATAATTCTGATTTCAATATCATTCTTTTAAAGCTATCTTCATAATATGATGAGTAAGATCTTCCAATACAAAGTTTTAAGCGTATGCCTATTTTAAAACAAATTATTTATACTAGTTATAATGCAACTTAACACAGTTGGCAGCTTGTACAAAATATATTTCTTCTACTCCAAAAAGGAAAATTAGTAAGTATGGCAGTTTCATAGTAAATGGCGAACTGAACAGCATAGAAAGTATAAATAACTCCATCTGAGAAGACAATAGTAAAATATACTTTTATGATATCTTGCGGGTGGCTATATATATGCTATATTGGTACCTAGGTACACTGGTTCTGCCAACCAAAACAACTCAGTTTCATAACAAGGAATTATATTTCGTCAATATAAAGTGATCCTCACTTCTTCCCTGTCACCTTAACAGGGTCTGTAATATTGCCTTACTCTCTTTTAGAAAAGTTGCAACTTCTCCATAAGAATCTCAATAAGGAAGTTGAAGAGGGGAGAGGAGTTATGTTGGGTTTTGCTTATTTGGTTTTCAACTGAGAGTCCAATGTTATGTTAGCTGTTAAAACTGCCCTTTAATCAGTCTAATACAAGTGAAACAATCTATAGCAACCAATATCATATGTAGAAAAATACGTACTGTTAACTAAAATGCCCCAGACAATGCAGTAAAGAACTTTTAATACAAAAGCTTTGATAGACTTGATTGATAAACGTTGCTACAATTTGACAAAGTATTAAACTGTAAATTTATAATCCTCAGAAGTTAATGCAAAACTGCCTTAAATTTTCATCTTTAATGTTTCTGTCTTTCAAGCTTTAAACAGTTAAGTTTTAAATATCCACACCTTAAAGATGAAGTTCTGTGGGTTTTTTTGGTTTTTTTTGGTTTTTTTTTTTTTTTTTTTTTTTACTAAAAACCCCATTTTTCACTGCCAAAAGATAACGCAAGTAGTGAATAGTTTCTTCATTGAAAAATTATTTTAACTTAATATCGAGCAAGTCAAAAACCACAGGCTACTAACACACAATGTGTAAACTCCGATTGTAATACTGGGTATGATTTTTAGATACTCTATTTTTGTCCTTCAAAAGCACAACGCATACAAGTATTGAAGACTCCACAAATCTACAGTGCCAAATCTACAAACATTCGTATGTTACTCTATTTGCATGTGCAAATGTTTACTTCACAACCATTTGAAACAGACATTGCACTATTAAATGAATTGTTAACAATTTGGAAAAAAAACCAACAAAACCAACTTCTCAAAGACACTGAAAGACTGCATGCCATAAAAGTGGAAAAGATAGTTACTATAATAAAGGTGTATTATTTGATATGTTTGACTCAAACAGTTCTTCAAAATATGCAGAATATAAACTTTAAAGCAAACAAAGAAACACCTGCTTAAGTGTAAAGAAAATTTAAATGAGAACCTAGCAAAGCCATTGCAAAGTTTTTGCCTAAAAATATGCTCAAACACAAACAATGAAAAACTGTTCCATCATTTGTAGGATGACTTTCCACAGAGCAAAAAAATTCACAAGGATTTTTTCCAAAATAGCTAATTGATTCATTAGACAAAGCACCATATGGAGGCAACCTAATACATCTGTGTTCTGAACATAATATTCCTCATGTCAGTGATAAGATAAAGTGAATGATAAGTGAACAAGCAGCTTGTGCTGATGAAGTCTGTAAATAAAGGAGCAAGTCACTTCCCTAATTAATGATAAATATTAAATCAAAGTCAGAGGTTTATATCACACACTTGTGAGTCAACAATCTAACAAAAACTGAACTTAATATAACATAGCTTTAAAAAGTAGGAACCCCTAAAATTTACCACTATAACTGCCACTGATGCAGCGCAGGGTCCAAGGCAAATCAACTCCTATTCCTGTCTCTAAAAGGGGCCACGGTAAAAAAAAATAAAATATGAGAAAACAGTGATCATTTTAAGATACACCTCTATATCACAAGTTCTATTATTATTACTATTACTACACAGTAAGATTAATTTTATGAGACAATAATATGTTCTTAGTATTATCAATAATAGTATTCATTTTTGTAATCCGTATTCAGTCAGCGGCACAAAGTCTAGTTGGAGTCCAGTGTCTGTCAGTGTCTGTCGGCAGGGGACAATACTGGCTCCAATCCTGTCGACATCCTCATTAGTGACCTGGATGGGGCAGAGCATACCCTCAGCAAGTTCACTGATGATATAAAACCAAGAGGAGTGGCTGATACACCACATGGCTGTGCTGCCAGAGAGACCTCAACCCCTGGAGAATTGAGCAGGCAGGAACCTCATGAAGTTTAAAGGGAAGTGCAGAATCCTGTACCCAGGAAGGAATAACCCCCCACACCAGTATATGCTAGGGGCTGATCAGCTGGAAAGCAGCTTTGAAGAAGAGGACCTGGTGGTCCTGGCGGGCACCAAGTTGAACATGAGCCAGCAACGAACCCTTGTGGCAAAGGTGGCTAACAGTGGCCTGGGCTGCCTTAGGAAGAACATAGCCAGCAGGTCAAGGGAGGGGATCCTTCCCCACTACTCAGCACTGGTGAGGCCCCATCAGGAGCACTGTGTCCAGTTCTGGGCTCCCCAGTACACAAGAGACATGGAGCTGCTGGAGAGAATCTGGCAAAGAGCCACTAAGATGACTGAGGGACTGGAGCATCTCTCATATGAGCAGAGGCTGAGCGAGCTGGGACTGTTTAGCCTGGAGAAGGGAAGGCTTGGAGACATCTCATCCACGTATATTCCTTCCCTTCAAGTATTTGTAATTAAGACTGGGTCATACTGTTTTCAGCAGTGCCCAGTGACAGGACCAGAGCCAACGGGCAGGGACTGAAACGCAGGAGGTTCCCTCTGAACATAGGGAAACACTTCTTCACAGTGAAGGTGACCAAGCACTGGAACAGGTTGCCCAGAGAGGTTGTAGAGACTGACAAAAGCCATCTGGACATGATCCTGGGCAACCTGCTTAGAATAACCTACTGAACTGGATTAAAATGTGTATTCTATGTATCTAGGAACACACTCATGAAAAAGGTTACTCATCCCAAAAATTCACTTAAGGATAATGGCAGATTATAAAAAGGAGTTGGAATTTTAACATCATTATTATTTTGAAGCATTACTAGCTTCAAAAATCCTAACTAGAGCTATACTAGATCAAAGAAACCACCTTGAGCAATAAACAGATTCTTAAAATGGCAGTAAGTATATATCTTGAAATAAGAAACAAATAATTTATTGTCAGTGTTTCATGTGAAGAGTGAAGGTGGCTCTAATCTCAGTACACATTTCACCCCTATACTTCATATGGGAAAATGGATCCTTTTGAACCCGAGAGAAAAATATTTTGGTACATGTTTCTAAAACAATTTACAATAATACAAGTAAGGGATTCCATGATTCTTGATAAGAAGTAGTAAATTTTTTACAGCTGTGATTGATCCCAGCCACCTAGAAAAAGGAATGCCATCACAAAAGCATGAGCATTTAATTACTGTGTTTAATGAAAAGGGCTGCTTTTTCATTTGTTTTACAGTACACATCAGTTAACTCATTAAGGACTTCTGAGTTAGCTGCTTGGAGGCTGAAGGAGATATCATACCCCTAATTAAACAAAGTGATCTTTCCTCTCTAATATTTGTTAAAGACAAGCCTTTGCCTAACAAAAAAAAAAAGATTTTTTGAATATTCATTTTATACATGAACAAGTTTAGAGGAAAACAAAAGATATTTTAAGCTGCTAACAGGGATAGCAAATTTTTATT